CGTCGTCGGCCTTTTCGCTTTTCTGCCTCCCGTCGCTTCAGCCCACGTCTTCGACGTCATGGCTTCCACTCCTTGCAAGTCGGCACCGTCTTCTGCGACCAACATCACGGAGGTGCTCTCGGCGCTTCCGAACGACGAGCTCGCGGCGGAGGGCGTCGGAATCAAAGAGAGTTATGCTCGTGCGCTCTTCGCATGCCATTTTGCAGCGTAATTCGCCGGTGCATGTTGTGTAGCACATGCATGCATGTGAGGGTTAACATGTTTCGACGAACCGAAGCATATCGGCTTGTCGGCCTTTTCGCTTTCCCTCCCGCCCTTGAAGACATATTCCTGAAAGAAAGCTGATAGGTCTGACATGTCTGCATCGTCGGAAGCTCATGGGTTGCTCTGTTACTTCTCACATCCTTGTTGGACGTTGCGTGTGTTGGGTGCCATCTTGGCATCTTGCGCCCTGTCCATGCTTGTCGCTCACGAGATTTGCCGAAGGCAGCGTGATTCCCGTGAACTAGAGCAAAGTCCCAACAAATATTTTTGCAGCCGTGCAGATCTTGGAGCATTCAACTTCGGCTGGCTTTTTGGTGGTGCAGGAGCATGCGAAATGATGTGACTTTGGGAGGACGCTGAAGCCTGTGACGACCTTCACCACAAGAAAGCTGATAGGTCTGATATGCATGCCAGACTACATGCCTGATGTCGCCTTTTGGCAGTGGTGTGGGGGCTTCTCCCAGACTTGAAGCTTTCTGGGGGTTGTGCTGACCCCGCCTGCTGGGACCATCAGAAAAAGCACTGAACATGACATCCTTGCGGACAACGAGTGTTCGTGAAGTTCAAGCCTGGGCTACATGCCAGTACGACAGGAAACATGGACCTGAGACAAGCGGTTGCTTCAGGCCTGTGGATGTGCAGGAGACCCCTCTTAGATTGCTCCAGCTCATAGTCCCCCTTAAGTAGATAGAATATGGCTTTGGGTATATTACAATAAGATCCCAATATATCCCATATTCTATCTATTTAAGGGGGATTATAGTCAAAAGCTTTGAATGCTTTGCTTTGACATGATGCGTTGGCAAGCCCAGGCCGGCAAATGTTGCCAAACTTTGTACCGCATGTGATGTATCATATGGGCTAAATAATTACCAATATTATGGGGCTTGGGGTTTAGGGTTTAGGGCTTAGGGATAATCTCCAATATTATGGTTCCATATTCCTTATATAATTATGGTCTATGGTACCTCAAAATGAGATTGGTAATCATTTAGGCCCTTGTAGTACATGGAAGCTTCCATGTAATTGCGTAAGGAGTGCGCGTGCCTTCGAGTGTAATAGGACACCAATCTGTTCAAGCTGACCTAGCAGTTTCCGAGAGCAACTACTTCAACCCTTGCATTCCCAGAGGTTTTTAAAAAAAAGGATGTGTTCAATCTGCCGCAGCAATTCCAGTTCTTTCTGAGCAGGGCCTTGGCCGGGAGCGTTTTGAGGCCTCCTAAAACGGGCGATTTGCCTGTGTGTTGGGGCGCCATTTGTGCATGTTAACCCCGGCTATCGCGCGACAGGAAGCCTTAAACCCTAACCCAAGCCCCAAGGCCCAAACCCTAAACTCTTAAATCCTGAGCCCTTAGACCCTATAGCCCTTAGACCCTATACTATAGCCCTTAGACCCTATAATCCTTAGACCCTTAAGCCCTTAGACCCTACAATCCTCAAACCCGATAACCCTTAAACCGTCCTTCCAAGGCCAGCGAGGCGGAGCCCCGGCAACAGAACGTCAGGCGAGAGAGCCATAACCCCTGTATTATCCCAATATTACCCCTATATTATCAAAATATTACATGGTGGGGTCGTTACTTGAGCCATAGTCTAAACTCCTTAAATGAAGTTACATAGGTGATTACATAGGGGACTACTATAGGGGCTACTAAGGGGGATACTAGGAGTTTAGACCATGGCTCACTTGATGTTTGGGATGTCCATGGGATTAGGGGTACAGGGCTTAGGGTACAGCTTGGGGTTAAGGGATTAGGATTCAGGGTTTAGGAGTCCCTTTTAGGGGTTATACAACTACCATATGTTTTGTCGACTTGGAATTATTTTGAACGTTTTATTGTACCTGAGGGATCTACTAAACGCAGAATTTGTTATGGGTTTAAAGGGATATGCGGGATATGTAGGGGTTTATAGGACTACATACGATTCTTGGGACATACAGGGTTATTCCTAGAATAGTGGAGAATAAAATACAGAAGACATGGAGAATGAAGTGGAAACTGGCCTCTAGGAAAAAACGAATTGATTGTCGTAGTACTTCTTCTCACTTGTGCATTTTGACTTGGTAACACTGTTATGAAATGTTGCCACCTTGCATACACTAAACCCTAAACCCTAAACCGTCTAATTAAGGTGATTGGCGCTGTGGGTGCTTGTCTTCTTCTGAAGAGATATGTTTGGGCTCTTCTGGTAGAACCTCTAGAACTGCTGGGACATGCTTGCTACTACCACCATTCCTGTCATGGCTTTGCGGATGTACCTGAAGACTTGGTTGGAGTCTACTGTCCCCATTCTCATTCAAAGTTGTCACGAGCCACTTTAGATTTTGCTAAGCAGGCCGCCGATTTTGGCTGTTGTCATCAGAGTTGTTTTGGTTGGCTTCTCCCTAAACCCTAACGTGGTGTCGAGTGGCTCTGTGGAGTTGACGATCCAGGTCAAGGATATTCATTCAGAAGTGTGATGTTCAGAAGGGTGATGTCGCGTAGGGGTCGTCAACGAAACAAGGGGTGAACGAAGGCAAAAGTATTGCGGGGACTGAGGTGAGGGATGCTACTTGCAGTGTCAAGCAGGCTATTGTCAGAGTGAGGCAGGAAGCCAGTGCCGAGCTGGGCAGACGTAAAACTTTGAGGGGTTCAAGCAACAACAGGAGGTTATGACCAGTATCCCGCTATCGTCGCTATTTCAGATAAGTAGTGGTTCGCACTATACCTACCTAGGTCTAGAGTCCTGCATTCATTCCGTGCTTTCAGCTCCTGCCAAACCCCGGCGCTTAGCCTGTGTATGTCTGTGTGATACTTGTAAGCCGATTAGCATTTCGGGTGATTGTAAGCAGTCGCGTGCCTTGCAGGCATGCTTGGGCAGATTGGCTCCGGGACTAAAAGCTAGATAGATTGCTTCATGATGCTTCATGAGCTTGCGGCCGAAACTATGATCGCTTGAGGCTAAGTTGAAGTTACAAGAAACACGAAAAGGTGCAGCTGAGCCGGCCAAATCACCCCGTGTTGGGGAGCCTGCAACAACGTCTGCTTGACGCCTTGTCCAGGCCCGGACGGCTTGCAAGGCACCTTCTGCGATATGGGTGGGGCACCAAGTGCGTAGCTGCGACAACATGGGGCACAGGTCGAGTATCCGTGCGAGGGATAAACCTCAAACCCTAAACGCTATATAATCCCCTATGTAAACCCATTATGGTAGTTTCCATTTCTTTTCCATTATCCCAATATATTTACTGGGTATTCCCCTAGGTTTCCATTTTGTTTGTCTCAAGCCACGACCATCCTTAAGCAACAAGAAGATGTTTGATCTGTTTTGGAATGGTTCGTGAACTTGGACGTCTAGTTCCGGCCGTATGCAACACGAATATACGGAAATCTCAGGGTTGGAGAGCCCTGGTTCCGTTCGGTTTGTTGGAGCTAATACCTGGTCCCAATGGTTTGGTGAAAACTCCAAAGAACCGTCAAACAATCAACCTCGTGAGTTTCAAGGCCTAACCCCTAAACCCTAAACCCTAAACCTCCTAGCCAATGTTCTTGGCTGCCCAGCTTCCTTCCAAGAAAACCTGAATGCCGCCCCTAGGGCTCAGATGAGCCATTGTCTAAACTCCTAAAAAGGGGGTACCAATAGTGGAGAATCAAATGGAAAAGAAAATGGAAAATGAAATGGAAACTGCTATATATATATATAGGGTTATGTAAGGGTTNNTACTAGGAGTTTAGACTGTGGGTCAGATGGTTCCATACCTTGAACGACGAGACTCAGACCGAAGTACTCTGTTTATTTGGTCCGCGCATGGCACGTTGTAGACCGAGGGCGGGTCTTTGGGAAGACAGCTCGTACACTGAGGTCGATTTGTATGCTGGCAGTTACAAATACTGAGCAGAACCTGAATCTGGTTTGGTTGGTATATCGGTTCGCTTGGGACCGATCGGTTTCTTTCTTGCGAGGTTCGATTCTACTTCGGTTTAGGGTTCGTGCTTCCCGGCATTCCCGAAATCTTCGGTGGGCCAGCAGGGCAGATTATCAGCAGATTATGCCTCGTTTTGAGCTGCATGCACCTTGTCTGGATGACATCACTTTTTCAACCCTGAGTTTGCTTGAATCCAACGTTTGTCCAGCTGCCAAGATCGCTCGCTACAGTTTCCTGAGCTTGGGAACTCCATGGCAACTCCACGCAACCTGTACCTGGAGCCTTGCAGAGATCCCAAGGTCGGAGCAGATGTCATCAAGGCACGGTTGAGTGCGGAGATTCAGTGGCTCACATCGTGCCAGAGTTGGTACTAGAGACAGACAACTGGTGCCAATCTCGCATAATCTCACCAACAATCCTACGGCGCAGGGTGCCAGCACCACACCCAACAACAGGAAGGGGCTGATGACGCATCCCTTTGTATACGTAATTTTGGTCAACCCTGGGAGAACTCTGTCAGAATCACCTTCCAAGCCCTGAACTCGGAGCTTGCAAATCCCAAGGGGTAGGTACTTCCCTACGTGGTCCCCTTCATAACCTCCAAAACCAAAACAGGAATAGTTCTGAGCAACTACCATGTAAATAATGCTGAGCTCCCAAACCGTATCTGCTGCAGGTCCTAGCGGGGCCGGAGCTGGCGAATCTGACCTACCGGCCACCAAGCGAGGACACGGGCTTGGGCTTGGGAGTGTAGATTATAAGAATCCAAGGCTCCGAGGTTGTAGGTACAAGGTCAGAAAGCAAGAAATCAGGACATCTTTGTGCAGGAGAGCCAGAACTCCAGGCGTCAGGTATCAACGTTCTGGATTGCTTTGGTTCAAAGTTTTGAGGCATCTGTTATCAAGCTCTGCTGAAGTGTCCTTGGCTTGGAGAGGCTGAGGTCGGCCAATTCCTTTTTGTACTTAGAAGTGTGCATGAGGCTCTGCAGACAAAGGGAATTGCAGTATGAAGTGCTAGCTGAAATCTTGGTTGACGGCTGGATCAGCGGTTGCTAGATGTTGCTAGCAATGTAGGCCAGCACATGCTTGTTCCATTTCAGCAGTTGCACGATGCTGCCTCCCACAGGAGGAGCTGGGGCCCGACCCCTTGTTGGTGGCAGCGGGGGTCCAAACGAAGATTCAGCCTGTGTGCAGATAAGGGTTGGGTAGGCTCCAGGCTGTGTTGCTTTGTAAGAAGCTTGCAGTCGCTATGGCATGCAGACTAAGACTAAGGAAGAGCGCGGGAAGGGCGGTCCGAGCAGTTTCATGTCGTCCAGTGAGATTGAGCCTCCACCCAAGGCGCGTGGGTAATCCCAGTTTTCTGTTGGAACCTGTCATGTCTGTACCCATTACTATTATTATTATTAGTACCATTAGTATTATCATTATTACTATTACTACTTATATTTCTACTATTACTCTTATTATCATTATTACTATTACTATTAGTATTACTACTATTATTACTTTTACTGTTATTATCATCCTCATTATCATTGCCATTTTAAAATTCTTTGCACATCTCTGTTTAGACTTCAGGATGAAGCTGTGCGGGCCTACGAGTATCGAGCGGCGGTTGCTACCTCAATTCCAGATGAGCAGTATTTTATTTGGGGATACTATGGTACCCAATATAGAGTAAGATTCTATCCTCCTTTTGGGGTAGAGTATTGTTTATATAAGGAATATAATCTTACTAGGTTCAACCACCAAAAAAAACACTAATCAGATGTCACATCTCCAGATCCATCCGGGAGAGCTGAATCTCCTCATGCACTATACCCCCCTGTAGAACCCCAATGTAACAATAGCAGTTTCCACTTTATTTTTCCATTATCCCAATAGAACCCTTATAAAACCTTATACACCACTATATAACGCTATATAATATAGTAGTTTCCATTCCATTATCCCTATATACCCGCATATAACCACAGTATAACAAATTAGGCAGAATTCTGGAGCCGGCCCGCAGCTTTGAGCTCGAATACCCCTTCTTCCATGCCTGGGGCATATGGGCACTACACCGCTTGGGAACATGTGCAAAGTCAGGTGCCTGTGCTCCACGTCTTCAACATAGAACAGTATTATCACTTGTAGCCCCAATGCCTGTCGTCGGACTACGCCAGAGTCAGAGGATAGCCCCAGTATGCCCAGATCAAGCCAGGGATCGACTCAGGCAGCTCAGAGCAGACGGAGCCACACGTCTACACGGGTGACAGATCTTAAGCCAGCATAAAAAGAAGTGAGGGTCGCAACTCTAACTGGTCGTTCTCCCTTTGCCTTGTGTGGAAGAGGGGCGTGAGACTCTCCTTGGTCGACCGCGGGGACGATGGCGACCGAAGATGGTCCGCCATTGAAGGCGCCCTGGGGCTTCGGGATCCATTTGGAATGCACCTTGGGTTTCAATCATTCCGAGCCCACTTGCCATACAAGGCCTCTGTCCGGAAGGTATTCTTTGCTGACATGAGATCTTGTTTGGGGTGTCAGAGTAGGGCAAACTTCGGAGCTGTGCAACTCGCTTTGAACAGCAAGTGTGCTCATGGGGAGTGCTCAGAGACGCCTCTCAGTTCTCGTGAGGTGATGCCAGGCTTCCTCCGCAGCATGACGCAGACCTCATACCGCCTCCTCCTCGGTTGAAACTTCTTGTTGTTTGCGGCTCTGCATCCGTAGGTCTTGCACAGCAAGCTCAAGAGATGTTGTGCGGAACGCCCAACCCCTTGCTGAGAAGAAGCCAGAAGCAACTCAGGAGAAGACTTTTGTCTTCGTCCGTCGCTAGAGTTGCAGGCGAAGGGCAGCTCAGGCACGCGTGCACCAGTCCATGTCTAGTTTCAAGTTTCTTTCACATAGACAGCATCAATATTTCATGTCGGACGGCTGCCGCACTCTGAAACGCTCCATCTTTTCCAAGGGCTGTTGTAGTATATTATAGTAAGTTATAGTAACGTATGGTATTCTTGAGTAGATTCTAGCATGTTGTAATCTATTCATGTATATTGTAGTATATTCCGTGGCTGCAAGAGGCCTGATCGTCTGCAAACACCCATCCTTGCTATCAGAGCCCAGGCCAGGGCCTTTGTTTCTGCAGCTCCTAGATCCTAAGCTATAGTCTAAACTAAACATCTGAAGGGGGTTATATAGGGGATTATATAGGGTTTAGGGTTTAAGGGGTTATCTTGGGGACTACTAGAGGGGACATTAAGGGGGATACAAGGAGTCTAGACTATAGCACAGGTCCTAAGCTTGCCAGTGGCTAGCAAGGGATTAGGGTTTAGGGTTTGGAGTTAAGGGGATAGCAAGGGATTAGGTTGCCTACCCATGGCTCCAAACGCGTTTGGCATTTTTTTGCTCGGATGATCGTTTAGGCCATGCTTCAGCAGTTGCCTGTTACAATGCGTTTTAACTGTTTGAACAATTTCTGAAGGAAATGTCCGGACTTGAACAGTTCAATCATCTGCGGTTTTGCCTTGTCTAAGTGTTGGCAGTTTGGGCTCCACATGGAACATTGATGATGAGTCTATGTCACTTGAACACCTTAAGCAAAGCCCATGAGACCGTGCAGTCTGTAAACACAGGGCTCAACTAGCTGTAGTCTAAATACACTCCTTAAAGTGGCTATATGATACATGGGGAGTATTAAAGGGGTTGTTAAGGCGGATGCTAGGAGTTCAGACGATTAGCTCAGCTTGAATTTCCACGCAAGCCTGCAGCTGGTGACGCTGCCTCCTCGTGAATGTTGAAAGCAATTATTATCCTACACCATCCTAAACCCTAAACCCTAAAGCCTCATATGGTTTACCCAATAGTAGCTTAGATTTAAGTTGTGGAACAGTCTGGTCTGCATCTTGAACCTAATCCGGGCTTGGGTATCTGTTGATGGCTTGTATACTTCCCGTTGGCCTTCGTGAGCCTATGATCTGCTTTGATTGCTTTGCATGGGTAATATATTAGGGTTATATTTGGGGTTTATATTGGGATAATGGAAAATGGAATGGAAGCTACTATAGTATATTGGGGTTATATTGGGTTTTATTGGGATAATGGAAAATAGGATGGAAACTACTACATTATATTGGGGTAATATTGGGGTTATAGTGGGATAATGGAACATAAAATGGAAACTACTATATCATGTGGTTGGATGAGGCTGGGCGCAGAGACGGACGAAGATGAGGCCCGGCAAATCTTTGCAGCCGAGGAGCGCTAATGAGGACTATGAGGAAGGTGCTTGGGCATATATACGATCATTGGGGTCGTATTGGGGTTATGGTATCCCTATATAGCGGCTATCTAGGGATAATGGAAAAGATAATGGATACTACTAGTAACAGCTTATCAGGAACATGTGGAAGATCAACATTGCCAGAAGCAACCCGAAAAGATCCGGGCAAAGATCGTGCGTAACAAAGGCAGATATGGCAGTGATAAAAAGGGAGATCTCATGGAAAGGGCATCAAAAGTTGCAAGAGCCTGAATGGCAGCAATTGTAACGCTGGCAACGCTTGCGCAGGCTGAGGCTGACCTAGACTTCAGAGACCCGCGGACGCCCTTCCTGGGCCGGAAAACCCCAATGTGCTGCACTTATTGCTCACTCTCTGGATCATCTGGATCATGCGTGTAGTAGCTTTGTTGGACAGAGTTCCTTGGCTTGCAGATCGTTCCAGCTTGGATTTGATTGCACATGCCAATCCCATGCAATGTCCATTCCGTCCGTTGGAGAGAGGACCATTGTGCTTGACCGGAGGCAGAGCACTTACAACTCCTTCTGCGTGGATCGAGGGTCATTGATTGCGACCCCGCCGCCGCCAAAGCGTAACAGAAGGCTGATTCGTTTTGCAAACGGGCTCGTGAGGTAGGTTCTTGTGAGATCTTTTCAGAGCCAAATGGCAGCAAGCCTACCGCGCGAGTTGTCGAGTCGCGCTCAAGACATTTTGATGAGAAAGACCGCGCATGCAAGCAAGTCAATATTGCATCAGGAATCGATCCGAAGTACCTTTGGGAGCACTGGAGACGAGCGCCGTCATCAAGGCAATGGGTTCCAGCAAACCACATGGCAAAGCATTTGGGACTTCATCGAGTTGGAGCCTTGCTGCAGCCATTGACCAGTGGAGTGACTACAGCGCTGCAGGCTCCCCCGATTCTGGGAGTGTTTGACACCAAAGGCCGGCAGTGGACTGGGGCCGAAGACTTTCCGTATTCCCTTTTGTTTACTAAGGACCAATAAGTAAGTAGGGGTCTTACAGGGATCTTCCACACGCTTTCGTGAGCGCTGAAGGCTAGTCTTGCGTTTCTGGGGTAGGAACACGATGGTCTGTAAACGTGTAGGAGGCAGTCCTGTCCCATGAGCTCTGTAGAGGGCTTGAGTCTATGTGTCCATCTGTGGGTTCTCTGGATTTGTGATCACCGGGGATTTCTGCCGCTTGAGAGCAAAAGGCCTCAGTTTGAGTCAATGTGGAAGCTACAGTTTTGGAGGTGTGCCAAGCGGCAGGGGTGGTCTCTCCGACGAGGCGGCGTGCAGGGTTTTTGAGGAATGCCTTTCCGGCCTTCCCCTTTTCAGTTCAATTTTCTCGTTTCTACGTAGAAAATAACTGCATGGCACTGTGCATGTTCCTCTGATGGAACACGTATGTGTCAGACGTAAGTGTGTCTGGGGAACATATCAGAGCGCCTTAGGCGCAGGCTTCACAAGGCTGGCTCCTTAGCCATCACTTGCATGCAGGAGATCCTCCTCCGGAACCAGCTGCTGTACATGGATCCTCATCCAGCCAGCCGCAGCCTAAGCCAGCCTTTGCTATTCATTTTCGTGCCCGCCAGCACCAGAACTCCAAGGACAAGAAAATACAAAGGCGGTGCTAAAGCAAGGCCAGCTCTGGAGTAAAAAGGGCCCAAGGTGCTGCAAGATCCCTACAGACTGCGGCTTGTGGGCGCTGTTGGTCGCACTGCAGGTTATCACATATGGGGTATTAAATCGGGGTGTGCATCCCTTCTAATAGAGAAGCAAGTGGACAATGGCCAATATCGAAAATGAAATGGAACCCTGGGTTCCGCTAAAGTGGCATTTTGCGCTGCATTGGGGTATCTTGGGGGATTCTAGTAGAGAGTGACATGGACAATCACATGGACAATGCAATGGAAAGTGGGTTTGTATAACATGGATGGCCATGCAGTGGCAGGATTCAAACCACTCAACAAGACGGTGGCAAGAAGCGACTTCACGACGTACGTGCACAGCAGGAGCACGCCCGGTGCTTGCCTACGTTCATGCTGAGTCTGCTGTGCTGACATGAAGCTATGTGATTGGACTGCAAGATGAAGCCTTGCGCCTCAGTTTGTGTGCTGCGGAGGAGCGCCGAGCAGCGACTAGGAGGAAGAAGGCATCATCGCTGCTGAAGCTAGCCTGGAATGACAAGGCAGAGGATGTTCCTGAAAACTCAGCTGCTTCCCTGAAGTTACTTCCCCGTTGGCGAGAAGAACTGGCACACCTCCAAGTCTGATGTTGCCTTCGAGCAGGGCGTGCACAAGTGGCCGAGGCAATATGCTGCCATGAGGTGATGGTGTTGTTTGAGGGCCCGCACATACAGTGCGCTTGCAGGCAGCCTCTACACAGGCCTTCGAACTGCCCGCTTCAACGATGCAAGACGGCGCCCGGAAGGCTGGACTGAGGTTTCGGCATGCAACTTTGACAGTTTGACGTCCACCTGTGCCCTCCGCGCCTTCCCTGGCAAGTTTGAAGCCGACTGGTACGATCTATGGCGAAGGCGGGGTGCTGTTGCCAGGGAGTGAAGGTGTTCCTGGAGTTTGCGGCCGTTGCAGGCCCATCGCGATCTCTCGGCAAGCCATGGAGAGGTTTGGATGGCACCCTGCACGAAATGGGGTGACAAGGACCTAAGCCAGGATAGCTTGAAATGATGACACGGGGTGATGTACAGCCAGGCTTGACCAGACTCATCGTCCAAGCAGGTATGCTGCACTCCACATGTAAGCCTGAAGTTGAGTTTAACCGTCAGGTGATCCATAAGACCTTGGCTGAGCGGGTCGGGGTGCCTGCGAGGAGATAACATCGCTGCTGGCCGATGAGAGAGCCATGTTTTTCCCTGCGCATCTCGGTCGGCTGGGAACCATCCTAGCTGCAGACATCTGCAGACTGATGCGGGACTGCCTCCTTCTGCATGGGCAGTTTGCATAGTGCAGTTCGTGCAGCTGCCCGAGACCGCGTTCCGAAGCTAACGTTTCGCGCGAGTAAAGTTGCGCTTCTTCTTGCTGGCTTCCTGTGGGGATGCGGGATTCAGCGACCTCATGCGGATGCATCGATAGACATCCCCATTCCTTGCTGCGAGCCAGTGCTTATTATGATAGTCCTAGCTCTCTCTAGCAGGGGTCGCAAGCAGCGGCAGTTGTGCTTGATCATTCATCCATCCTTAATCCAAAAGTGCCGCCAGGCTGATTTTTTGGAACTGCTGGCTGCGCGACCCTGGATCTTAGAAAGTCTGTGTTTACTGGAATACGGCAATGCGAGATGCCTCCTGTGTGGGATGCACATCTCCTTAGTACTCTAGCAAAGCTCAAGAGCAAAGGTGACTTTGAGCTTTGGACATCCTGAGCATCCAAGGTGCTCACTTGAGCCGTAGTCTAAACTCCTTGAAGGGAGGTTACATAAGGGGTTATATGGGGGACTACTATAGGGGGTTGTTAGGGAGGATACTAGGTTACTAGGAGTTTGGACACTGGCTCACTTAGTTTGTTAGCGCCTCCGTCTTCCACAGATGTGGAGAGGGCAGAGGCTGAATAGGGCTTTCGGGTTACGCGCCTGTTGCGCGCCAGGGCCTGCAGGGGCCCCACGGCTGAACATGTAAAACTGGCAGCAGCAGGGTTCTTGCAACTCATACAAAAGATCTACAAGGGATTCCACTGGGAGACTTCCTCGGCTCTTGCCACCCTATAAGAGAAACAAGTAAGCATGAAACACAAACTGTCCTTCAGGTTCTCCTTTTCAGCAATTCCGCCTTTCACGTGGCGTTTCACAACAATTGGTCATCCGAATTGACGGGTCGTTTGCGTCGGGGTAGGCGGGGCTAATGGCCGACGCATACGGCGAACCCTTAAACCCAAGACAGTCGAGGCTTGACTTACTATAGCTCTGACTTGCTTGCCTTTGCTTATCTCAGGTACCGCAACTTGTGTTGGTCAGGTGTTTGTGCAGAGAGCCGGAAATCTTTGGCACCCGCCCGCCCTCCCCAGAGTGGGATGCGGCTGCACACACGCGTGTGCGCCGACACAGTACTATTCGGCCCAAGGGCCGGGGGGGGAAACTTGAGTGTGCAGGGAAAGGGGCATGTGCCCCTTCCCAAGAGTATATTTTCTGCAGCCAAAAGTGATCCGCCCATGCCTAGTGCCTCTGTGTGTGTAGGGGTTGAGGGTTATGGTAGTTTCCTAAACTAGGGGGATACTACAGTCAACTATAGTCCTTATTGGGGATCCCACGCGGGTACTTGGAGAAACTCTAATCCTTAGTTCCATCTCATTTTCCATCTCATTTTCCATTTGATTCTCCAATATAGGGGGTAATATCCCTAATTTTGGGAAACCCAAACCCCTGGGATTGAGTCTGAGTCTCCCTGAGCATTGTCTGGGAAACCCTAAGCCCTGTATCCTTATATAACCCCCATATAACCCCTATATCCCCCTTTAAAGGTACCCCCCCCCCATTTTCCTGTCTTGCCAAGGTCATGCTGCAGCAGGGTCAGCCTGTGCAGAGCCAAGATTTCTTGCAGCAGGACTATGCAGGGTCAACATTGTGGCATTGGGCATGGCTCTGCCCGGCTATATGTACATCATATGTATACTGTATACAATGCTCATCTATCTATCTATACATATATATATATATGTGTACATGTCTGGGTCTGGATGCTCTTTTTTCAGCCGAGGCCCAATAGCTTCGGAGTCTTACTTCTTGGGCTATTCGGTAGCCTGTAGTTGTCCAAACCCTGGTAGGATATTTGCATATGTATATGTATTTCCTATACGGTACGTCTGTTGCTTGGCAGGTTTGCGAGGCCTGTGCTTTGTGAGGTTGCCACGCTGGCTGAGCTGGAGGCTGCACTGTGTTTGGCGGAGCAGAAGAGTGCGCCACACGGAGTGCTGAGACAACAACATAGTAGTAATAATAGAAATGAGAGTAGTATCTAATAGTAATGATAGTAAGGATAGTAATGAGAGTAATGAGAGTAATAATAGTAATAGTAGGAATAAAAGTAGTCATAGTAGTAATAGTAATACTAGTAGTGCTTGTAATATTAGGAATACTAGTAGTAGTAATAATAGCAATAGTAGTAATAACAGTAATAATGGTAATAATCGTAATAATGGTAACATGGTAATACTAGTAACAACAGTAATAACAGTGATGAAGTCAGCAGAAGCGTGCTCTCCAAGCTTTCGGAGAGCTGTGCGCAGACTTTTCTGAGGCCTGGTGCCCCCAGCAGAGATCCGCCGACGGTGGCAGACCTTGGCTGCCTCTGTGCGCTGCTCAGTCTCATGAAGTGGTAGTTTCCCAAAGCAAGGGGACCCCAATAAAGACCCTGAAATACTCCAAGCCTTAATATAGGGACCCCCGAAAGGGTACCCCCCATTTTTGGGAAACCCCCAAGTCTCTGTCGGTAGTTTGCTGCACCATTTGAGCTACAGTCTGAACTCCTTAAAGGGGGTTATATAAGGCATTATATTGGGGAGTATTCCAGAGGTTATCAAGGGGGATGCTAGGAGGTTTTAGACTATAGCTTCCTAAACCCTAAACCCTAAACCCCTAAAGCCTAAACCCTAAACCCCTAACCCCTAAACCCTCATTCCTGGGAAAGCAGGCTGTGACCTGGTCTTTGGACTGCCTGGCAGCGGCAGATGAGAAAGTCTGGATATATGACCAAGCGCTGCAGATGCTGCCAAGTTCTCAGACTCCCAGCCATTTAGAGTTTCGGGTTTCCATTTTATTTTCCATATCCCAACAGTATCCATTTTCTTTTCCATTATCCCTATGTAACCCCTATGTATACCTATTCTAGTAATTTCCATTTTCTTTTCCATTAGCCCTATGTGCACCCAGCTGTGGGCTGCCGTGCTATTGTTGGGCAACCAAGCGTGAGGAGTCTTCCGATCTGAGGTGTACTGCAGAGATCTTGACCAGAACCGATGTAGCCGCACCACGGTAGCATTGGAAGTGCAACCCTAAAGACACGGCAAGAGTGACATTGATCAAGATGGTTGAAAGGGTCCGGTTCATCCTTCATCCCACCATGGTTACAAATCACGGAAGAGCTGTACTGGGCCTTGGGCGCATTTTGCACCGTGGATGGATTCATGAGTTATAGGCCAGCACCATCCGAGGAAACCTTTGGCGCGAAGGTGATGCCCTTGCGGCCTTTCCTTCGAGCTCTCAGTCTGGTTGGCCAGTGCCTTGATGTCCTTGATTCCAGCAGAGGGCTTCCAAAATCTTTGATATCTGAGCATCTGTAGTGCTTGTAATATTAGTATTACTAGTAATAGTAATAATAGTAATAGTAGTAATAACAGTAATAATGGTAATAATCGTAAGTGTGCTACAAGGGTTCGTGTTTGCACAGGTAGGCATCTTGCCACTTTGAGACACGGTATCCGGCTTAGAAACATTTGCGCATGATCCTCCTAAATCGCTAGCATCATGGAGAGCCATTCTAGGAAGGGCCTCTTACCAAATCAACTTTTCAACCGCCACTTTGGACCTATTATTACTATTGTTCATTATTAGTATTCTTATTAATATCACTATTGTTACGATGGGGTAGCTAGCTTTGATGTTCAAAAGGCCTGGGCAGCTACTACCAGCAGCGCGGCAAGCCCAGGGCCGCAGTGCGCTTCCTGGAGCAGGCTCCACCGCAGAATGCTAATTCCTATGATTTCTATTCTAGGTTGCAGCTTTTGTGATCGGTAAAATGTTAAAGGGCTGGCTACGGGGGATGGGTTGGCTGGGAGAGGGCCCTGGCATGGACCTGCGACACGTCAACAAGTCAACTATGCGACGGCAGTCATCATTACATGAGCCATAGTCTAAACTCCTTGAAGGGGGTCATATAGGGGATTAGATAGGGGACTATGAAAGGGGTCAGTGATGGGGATACTAGGAGTTTAGACTATGGCTCACATGAGTGCAGTAACAGGCATCTGGGTGTACTGGTGCCCTCAGGCTTTTGGTGCAACTGTGAAAGCATGCTTGCAAGATGAGGGTAGTGCTCTGTCACTTGAGCTGGCTTGGAAGTAACGAAATCCTTCTCAGGCTGCCAGTGGGCAAGCGAAATTTGCACATCCTGCTGTGCTGCTGAACCTTTGCTGGGCCTCAGAATGAGATCAAGCTGTGTGCCATGTTGGTTTATTGCCCACATGGGCACAATCGTTAGCGTCCGCAAGAGTCTTTAAAGAAACATCCTCGCATGCAGTAGTGTTTTGGAATTGACTCAAGTTCATAGTGAGGTATGAGCCTTCAATTTGGACCGGCTTTCTGTATTCATATGTTGTGAAAATCATGCGGCAAGTCATCATCCAGTTCATGCTCGAGTAGTGTTTCTACCTTGGATACTTCCGCCCACTCTGCAACAGTTGGATAATATCTATAATATTGTTATATATAGCTTAA